TGGCACATTCCAGGGATCCCATCCTGACCATCCCCAGGCTGGCACATTCCAGGGATCCCATCCTGACCATCCCCAGGCTGGCACATTCCAGAGACCACGTCTTGCACCACCCCAACAATTCTCTCCCACAAACCCTTCCTTCCCCGTGTCCTCACTGTCACCACAGTCCAGCACCTTCCAGGGACACCAAACACGGATCCTGCCCCAAACCCAGAGCTGTCTCCCAAAAAACCCTCCTGGCCACCAAGTCCTCACCAGCACCACGGGACCACATCCTGCCCCCCCACCGAGGCCCAGCAGCTCCCAGGGATCATGTCCTGCCCCAAACCCGGAGCTGTCTCCCAAAAAACCTTCCTGCCACTGTGTCCTCACCGTCACCAAAGCTCCTCCCAGTGACCACGTCCTGTCCTGCACCAGAGCTGCATGTTCTGGTCACCACGTCCCCAAGGTCACCAAAGGCACCTTCAGGGACCAGGTCCTGCCCCAAAACCAGAGACATCTCCCAAAAACCCCTCTGGTCACCACGGCCTCAAGAGCAACCAAGAGCAGCATCTTCTGGGGTCCCATCCTGCCCCATCCCCAAAGTGCAGCACCTCCCAGGGATCCATCCTGCCCCAGACCTGGAGTGTTGCCCCTCCTGGTCCCCGTGTCCCCAGGGCCACCAGAGCCCTTGCAGGGCCTGTATTGTCACTGTGACCAAGGCCCAGCACCTCGTGGCCACCACGTCCTGCCCCTACCCCATCCCCAGCTCACCCTCCCAGCCCCACATCCCCTCCAGGATCCTCAAGGCCCCGGAGGTGTTGCCAAGTGACTCCAGACCCTTCCCAGCTTTGGGACACTCCTGGGGTCGTTCCCCACCTCAGCCGGGCCGAGGTGGCCCAGCCCAGCCCTGAGGGTGCCAAGGGCAGCACCCCCGGCCCCCCATCCCCACCCCAGGGTGCCCTCGGTGGCACTCAGGGCCCTGCGTGTCCCCACTGCTTCCCACGGCCCGGGAAGGCCCAGACATGGATTTAGCCAGGGCTAAATGTGTCCCGGGATAACGGGGATTGTGGGCGGATGAGCGGGATCAGCGCGGCTCCGGAGGCTCTGCCGGGCGCTGGGGCTGCTGGCAGAGCTTGGCTGTGGGACAGGGGCTGGGGCCTGGCCAGGGGGGACCCAGAGGGGCTGGAGGTGCCCATCCTGGCCTTGGCTGCTTCTCCAGGTGTCAGAATTCCATGGGATTCCAGCACCGACATCCTGTGGCTCCAAAACACCCCGATCCAGTGTCTATATCCCACCAGGAGAACCTGGGGCAAGGCTGCTGGGTGTTTGGATGGACAGATGGATGATGGATGGATGATGGATGGAGGGATTCCCATCCATCTGGGATTTCCTCCAGAGCCATCACACACCATCCTCCCACCGTTCCAAGGACCCGGCCCCACAGCTCGGGAGCGACCCCCGTTTTTCCACCCCAAATCCCCCCCAGTCCAGAGCCTGTATCCCACCAGGAGAGCCTGGGGCAAAGCTGCTGGGTGCTTGGATGGATGGGTGGATGGATGGATGAATTTCCACTTCTGGAGTCATCCCACTCTGTCCTCCCCCCATTCCCAAGGACCCGGCCCCACAGCTCGGGAGCGACCTCCCCTTACCCCCCAGAGCAGCCTGCAGAGCTTCTCCCGAGCTCCAGCTCCCGGGATTCCCCCCAGACACGGAGCTCTTGGCCCGAGCTCGGCCCCCTTGGCCGCGGGACGGGGACAGACGGGTCACGTCTCCCCCGACGGCGATTCCAAGGTCTGCTCCCGCCGGAGCCCCCGGAGTGGCACCGGCACCGCCGGGACACCCCAAAGCCACCAAGGAGGGCACGGAGCCACGTCCACCCTCCTCCTCCTCCTCCTCCTTCCCCACCTTTGCCTTTTCCAGGATGGGACCCGAGATTCCCTCTTTCCCAACACTCCGTGCAGGGGTCCGGCGGCTCCAACCGCGCCAGATGTTTTTGCAACTCCACATCTGGGAACAATCAACCCCAGAGAAAGAACAGCACAGTCCCTTTCATTCTGCTAAACCCCACCTTCCCCCCTCCCCCAGCTGCTTTTCTTTTTTTTTCCCCATTTTCTTTTCTTTTCTTTTTTTTTTTTTTCCTCCCTAGCTCTCCAGTTGCCAGAGAGTGGGAGAACAAAGGGAATATAAAAGGATTCCCATTTTTTTTGGCCCTCACCCAAAGGTACAAAACTCGGTGCCCCCATCCCTGTTTTCACACCTCACTTTTTCCTCGGGGTCCCGTCCCCCCAAATCCACAGAAACAATCAAAGAGCCTTTTTTAGAGTCTCTTTCCAGGGTGGAAAAAAAAACCCACCACGGCTTCCTTCAGGTTTAGGTTGAAGGTTTTCAGCTTTAGGATATTTTTAGACTTTCTGGAAGTGGTTAAAAAATCTCCTCCAACGACTGTCAGGCCTCTGAAATTGGTCCCCCCCCCCGCGGCTGCCGTTCCTTCAGCACCCCAAAAATCGAGTGGGGTTTGGTTTTCTGGGATTAAAGAGTTCAAAGCAGCTTTTCCGAGCTGCCCCAACTCATGGAGGTTCTAAGGTGATTTTGGAAAGCCCCAGGAACGGGGGTTTAGCCCCCTTTGCTGCTGGGGGGGGGTCCCCAGAATTCCTGGGAATGGGGGAGTCTCTCCCGCCTGGTCCTTACCAGTTGGTGACGGCTCTGCCCTTTCCCACCGCCTCGGTCTCTTCTCTCTGCTTTCCAAAAACTCTGGAAATGAGAGTTAAAAAAAACCACAAAAAACCCAAAAAAAACCTCCTACCTCCAACATGGGGGATCCGCTGGGTCCTAAAGCCACACCTGGGCCGGCCCCTTCCTGCTCCCGCTGCTGCCTGGGAGGGGAAAAACCGGGATAATAATTCCAAATAATAACCAGTGAGAGCTTCTCCATGCGAAGGGCATCGGGGCAGTTGGGGTTTTGCTGTTTCTTGTTTTTTTTTTTCCCGGTTGGATGAATTTTAAACCCATTTAAGAGCAAGGAGGGAGAAGGATTCCGTGCAGCACCGGCACGGATCGGGCTGGGATTCGTGCTGCTGGAGGGACAGATCCAAGGATCAGGGCAGGGAATCGTTGGATCATCTCGTCAGCTTTTGGGAAAAGTCAAATACACCCCAAAATTTGGGCTGCTGGGCCCCCGTCCCCCCTCCTGATCCACTGACATCAGCGCTCCACCTTCCCCCGGGGCAGAGGATGCTGCGATCCCGGGGGATTTAAAGCTTTATCCCAGGATGGAGGGGGGGAAAAGGCAAAATTCCCCTTTTCCCACCCAGGCTGAGGACGTGCAGCCCTGGTGGTGGGGGGAGCCAGCACTGCTGCCCGTGGGGCCCCCTTTTCCCTGGATTGCTGGTGGATTTCCAGAGGACACGGAATACCGGCTGCGTCCCGGCAGGGCTTGGGATGATCCCCAAAACCCCCGAGCCTGGAGGTGACACAGAGCCTGGAGCTGCGGGATGAAAACCTGCGGATTTTAGGAGTAAAACCAACAGGGAGCAAACAGAGGGTGCTGGGATGGAGGGAAAACAACTCTGGAGATGGGAATGGGGATGAGGAGCCGCGATTTTCATCCACGGGACAGGATTCCACCCAGCTCACACGGGGTCGTGCAGCCAGGAGAGGGGCTGACTGCTCCCAAAACCAGGAACATGTGGATTTGCAGAGCAGGATAAGCAGCAGACAGGGTTTAAAAGAGCTCCCATCTCCTCCCGAGCCTGGTTTTCCAGGCTGAAGGATGGATAAAACCATCAAATGACTCCAAACACAGCTGCTCCAGGCCCCCAAATCCAGCATTATCCTCATCCCAGTCCTGGTAAACTTTATCCAAGGGCAGGAGCTGCCTGTTAATAATTAAATGGACTTTACAACCCCCCTGGGGCCGGGAACACCCTCAGAATCCAGCCAAGCCAAACACCCGGAGAGGAGTGTGGAAATTCCAGGGGGAAAAGGAGTCCTGGGTGCCTTTGCTTTGCAAACCGCCAACAACAGGCAGAATTCTCCGAGATTTGTGTGTGGGAAGGGTTTTTTTAGGCTCGGGAAAGTCTGGTTTAATAACTCCAGCCTTGGCTGGGATTTCAGGAAACCTCTTACCTCTGCTTGTGCCTCATTTCCTGACCTAATCCCCAGCTCCCGGAGGGCAGAGAGGCCGCCGGCGCTCGGAGGGGGAGAGACTTTCCATGGAGACAAGTTCCCGCAAGAACCAGCCTCTGATCCGAGAGCCAGGCTCGCAGGCAGCTGGAAAAGCCTGGGAGGGGGATGCAGGCAGCACATCCCCCTCCCTGGGGATCAGCTCTTCCCACCTCGGGATGCGGCGGCTCCGTCCAGTCCACCGGCTTTTCCTTGGCTGCAGGAGCGAGGTCTGAGAGTCCCAGCCAGGCCACCTGGGTTTTTCCAGCAATGGTTATTATTTTCTAGGAAATTCCAGCTGGAAAGAGGCTACTTAGCTCAGTTTGGGCTGCTGGAATCCCAGCGGTGTCATCCCTGGCTCCGCTCCCTGCTTTCGAGCATCGGAGTGTCTTCCAGCCGGGCCGGGGAATGAGGTGACCCCAAAACCTCTGCCCTGCTCCCATATTCCATGGAAACTGCCCCGTGCCACGGATGCCATCCTGCATCCATCCCCAGGCAGCACAAGGAAGGAGTCAAGAAAATAGTGTTAATTTATTAGACAACACCCACGACTGCACCGTCCGGAATCCGGAATCGGCGCCGTCCAGAGCCTGGAATTGGCACCTTCACCCTCCCCACGGCTTTTACACCTCGAGGCATCGGAGTGCAGTTAAAAAATAAAGAGATCTGGGTTTTTTTAATGCTACAAAGGTCCCAGCCGGAAGCAGAAGTGCCCTGCGGGAGCATTCCAAGCGAGAAAGGGGCCCATGGTCGGTCCCCAGGATGGAGCAGCATCCTTGGCAAGCTGGGAATGGGGACTGTAAACTTCCTACACATCTAGGGAGGGCCATGGAGGGGAGTCACAGTGACATGGACACGAGGTCGGGGGGGTGCCCTCGCCAGGAGAAGATCAGGGACCCTCCTCTGTTTTTGGGATGCGGCACCTCCGTCTGCGGCATTTCCTCGGAGTGAGTTTTGGAGTCTTGGCCAGGCCACCTGCAGTTTTCCAGCCATAATTATTATTTTCTAGGAAATTCCAGCTGGAAAGAGGTCATGGAGCTCAGTTTGGGCAGCCAGGAGAGGACGAGGGAGGTGGAATTCCGCTGTGGAACGGCCCCGGTGCCCAGCGCAGGAGCGGGAGAAACCCTGGAGGAAGAGCCCCGCTGGTTCCTCCTCTTCCTCTGAATCTTCTCCCCGTTTCTCCTCCACCACCTCCTCCCTGCGGGACCACCACGACCGTGGCCCCAGAGCTGCCGTGCCGAGGCGTGTCCCGCGGGGGGAATCCCGCCCGCCGCCATCCCTCCTTTTCCCGGGATCAATAAATAAAGGCCATCGTCTGAGGGTGGCACGGGAGGGCCCCACGCCCGCTATCTCAGGGCCATGGCCATCCTGGGGGTGGCAAAGAGGGGCTCGTTGAGGGGGGGCCAGCCTGGCTGCTGCTGGCTCAGCTCCTTCTCCAGCCTCTTGAAGAGTTTCTTGGAGGCTTTTTTCCGGCGTATCCTGCGGCAGCAGCGGAGCAGGCCATGGTCCAGGGCGGTCTGGGGCAGAGACAGGCGGGAAAACAGCTTTGGGGAGGATGTTCCTCAGCAGAGGGTGGAGCTGACGGCGAGGGGAGCCCTGTCCCCCCCGGAGGAGCCCCTGAAGGTCCCCCAGCCCCTCCCGTCCCACCGGCCCCACCTCCAGCACGAAGGCGGCGAAGAAGTTGAGGGCGGCGATTCCCAGCAGCAGCAGCTTGAAGTTCAGGTCCTCAATGCCGTGCAGCTTCAGGAGGGTTTTGGGGAAGCCCAACGGGTAGAGGGTCAACCAGACCATGAGGCCAAAGAGCAGGACGAGGACGAGCAGGAAGAGCACTGAGGGTGAGAGGGGAGAGGGTGAGGAGGAGGCAGGAGGAGGAGAGGGAGGGAGGAGAGGGAAGGAGGAGGGAGAAAGGAGGAGGGCTGGGGGGTCTCTGTGCCCCCGTGGCAGCCCCACCCTCACCGTTGGTGTAGAGGGGCTCCCGGAAGGGGTATCCCTTGGACATGGCCACGGCCAGGATGAGGTACTGGAAGCCGCTGACGCAGAACAGGACGGTGTTCTCGTAGTTGGGCAGGTTCTGGGGGGCTGTCACGGTGCTGTTCAGGGGGACGAACCTGAGCCAGGGGGGACAGAAGAGGGGAAGGTGAGAAGAGGGTCTGAATGTGACTCCTGGTTTTCCACATTCTGCCTTGGGAGGGGATGGGGAGGGGCAGGTCCTGAGCTCCTCTCCCTGCTGACAGGACCCAGGGAACGGCTGGAGCTGTGTCAGGGAGGGTCAGGTTGGATCTCAGGAAAAGGTTCTTCCCCCAGAGGGTTGTTGGCACTGACCAGGCTCCCCAGGGCAGTGTCACGGTCCCAAGGTTGCCAGAGCTCCAGGAGGGTTTGGACAACGCTCTGAGGGACAGGGGGAGAATGTTGGGGTGTCTGGGCAGGGCCAGGAGCTGGACTGATGATCCCTGGGGTCCCTTCCAGCTCAGGACATTCTGTAAATCCATGTCTGCTGCCAGACAGCTGGAGGTATCCTGGATCCCAAAGCCAGGACAAGCACCTGGACTCCATCACAACCTGTGTGCCATTCCCATCACCAAACCCACATGAAGGCATGGGATACCAGGAAGAATTCCTTCACAGAAAGGAATTCTAAAGCACTGTCACAGGCTGTCCAGGGCACTGGTGGAGTCACCATCACTGGGAGTGTTCAAAAAATGTCTGGATGTGGCACTTGGGTTAATGGTGAATGTAGTGGTGGTGGACGAGCACCAGGGCTCCATCACAACCTCCATGTCCTTCCCATCCCTAAGGAAGGGGAAGTTTAGATTGGATATCAGGAAAAATCCCTTCACAGAAAGGGTTGTAAAGCTTTGGGAGGGGTTGCCCAGGGGGGTGGTGCAGTCCCCACCCCTGGAGGGGCTCCAAACCCGTGTGGCTGTGGCACGCGGGGACACGGTTCGGTGGCGAGCACGGGCGGACTCGACCTCAAAGCTCCTGTCCAACCTCCACAGCTCCTCCCTCCCGGGCTGTGGGGCCTCACCAGCTCTGCGAGGCGGTGATGAAGTAGCTGAGGACCTGCACAGTGATGAGCAGGGCTGTCTGCAGCAGGAGGCTGCCCAGCACCAGGGCGCTGATGAGGGTGCCCGGGGGCCGCGCCAGGCCCAGCGCGCGGGCAGGGCCCGTGCGGCCCATCAGCACGGCCACCGTGGTGGTGATCACCAGGTCGAAGAACAGGAACTGGAAGTCGCTCAGGTTGGTGTTGAGCTGGGGAGGAGAAGAGCCCCGAGGGCCTTGAGCAGGGCCAGGTCCAGAGGCAGCAGGGAGGGGGTGGCCGGGGCAGGGCGGGAATTTGGGACTCACCGTGTAGAGCAGCAGCACGGACACGAACTGCACGAGGCTGTACAGGGCCATGTACTTGAACACACCAAAGGAGGTGACCAGGGAGCACCTGCCCTCCCTGCAGGGAGAGATTCACACAGAACGTCCTGAGCTGGAAGGGACCCTCAGGGATCACGGATCCAACCCCTGGCCCTGCCCAGACACCCCAACAATCCCCCCCTGTCCCTCAGAGCGTTGTCCAAACCCTCCTGGAGCTCTGGCAGCCTTGGGGCCGTGGCACTGCCCTGAGGAGCCTGGTCAGTGCCAACAACCCTCTGGGGGAAGAACCTTTTCCTGATGTCCCACCTGACCCTGCCTGGCACAGCCTCGTGTCACACCAGACCAAAGTTCTGCAGGAGAGATCCAACACCTGCCCCGCTTCAACAAAAGGTGGCATCTCCTACCTCGACCTGCCACATTCCTCCAAGGGAGGACAGATTTAGTCACTGCAGACCCACCCAAAAACCAGCAGCACGAGGAACAGGTGAAATGGGAGACCTGATCTTGGCTGGCACCTCCCAGTGCCATCCTTCCCACCCCAACCTGCCTGGAACGGTGCCAGCCATGGTCCCAAGCTGGCACTCACCGGGACAAGGTCCTTCACCACGTACATGTGGGGCAGAGTTCCTGACACCCACCCTGAGCCTGCCCTGCCCCAGCTCCAGGCCATTCCCTGGGCGCTGTCCCTGTCCCCATAGAGCAGAGTTCAGGGCCTGCCCCTCCTGCTCCCTGGAACTGCAGCGAGGTCTCCCCTCACCCCCAGCCACACCCTGCTCCCGACCATCCCCCCCGAGGGCCAGAGGAGCCCTCCCGTGGCCGTTCCCCCCATTCCCCCCGCGCTCACCGGATCACCCTGGGCACACACTCGATGTTGGCCACGCGGGACGTGAAGGGCGATGCCACCGACGCCTCGGCCTCGGACAGCGAGATGCCCACGTCGGCCGCCCGCAGCGCCCCGCAGTCGTTGGCCCCGTCCCCGCACATCCCCACGCAGTAGCTGCCCAGGGAACCAACACCCTCAGCAGGGGGAAAACCCCAGGATCTGCCCAGGGGAGCCACAGCTGTCCCAGCCCGGGGAGTGTCCAAGGCCAGGTTGGAGCAACCCGGGATTGTGGAAGGTGTCCCTGCCCACGGGATTGGATGGCTTCCAACCCGACCCATCCCATAATTCCATGACTAACCCCTGCCCCCCACCCCCCGGGCCTCACTTGAGCTCCTGCAGGCTGCACACCAGCTGAGTCTTCTGCTCGGGCAACATGCGGGCGAACACGGTGGCTCGGAGCAGGATCTGCCAGGGACGGGAGACCCCGTGTCCATCCCAGAGCACCCCCAGCCCTGTGCCCAGGGGGAGTTCAGGGGCACAGGGAATCTCACACCCCCATCCCTGTGCCCAGGAGATGCTCGGAGGGCACAGGGAATCTCACACCCCCATCCCTTGCCCAGGGGGAACTCAGAGGGCACAGGGAATCTCACACCCCCATGCCTGTGCCCAGGGGGAACTCAGAGGGCACAGGGAATCTCACACCCTCATCCCTGTGCCCAGGAGATGCTTGGAGGGCACAGGGGATCTCACACAGGACACAAAAACACCCTCAGGGAATTTTGTTTTGGAGCTGTGAGGTCACACTGGGAAAGCCCAGGGAGGTCAACCTTGATTTAGGGTCTCCAACCCCACCAGAGGGTCCCCAACCCCACCAAAGGGTTCCCCAAGCTCAATGGAGGGTTCCCAACCCAATTCCCTTGTTGGAGGGTCCCTCAACCCCAGCAGAGGGTCCCCTTGCTTTGCCAGAGGGTTCCCCACCCTCACCAGAGAGCTCCCAACCCCACCAAAGGATTCCCCAACCTCGCTGGAGGATCTCCAACCTCACCAAACGATCCCCCAGTCTCGATGGACAACACCCCAACCTTGCTGGAGGATCCCCCAACCTCACCAGAGGACTCCCAACCCCACCAAAGGATCTCCCAATCTTGCTGGAGACTCCCCCAAGCCCACTTGGGGGGACTCCCCCAACCTCACCAAAAGGGACCCCAACCTCACCAAAAGGGACCCCAATCTCCCCAAAAGGGACCCCAATCTCACCAAAAGGGTCCCCAAGCTCCCCAAAAGGGTCCCCAACCTCACTGGAGGGTTCCCCAACCCTGCCAGAGGGTTCCCAACCTCATCAGAGCATTCCCCAACCTCCTCAAAGGATCCCCCAACCCCACCAAAGGGTTCTCCAACCTCGATGGAGGGTTCCCCAAATCCACCAAAAGGTTCCCCAACCTCAATGGAGGACTCCCCATCATCACCACAGGGCACCCCAACCTTGCTGGAGCATCCCCAACCCCACCAGAGGGTTCCCCAACCCCCACAGAGGGTCTCCCAACCTCAGCAAAGGATTCCCCAACCCAGCTGGTGGGTTCCCAACCTCTCCAGAGGTCCCAGCCCTGCCAGAGGGTTCCCCTGGGACTCACCCTGGGCAGCAGGTCAGCAAAGTGCTCACAAACCACCTGGAAGGATTTTCCATTGAGGGCCAAGTGGCAGGGCTGGGGAGGGGGGGAGGAGCCATCCTGCTGCTCCAGGCCCTGCCAAGGTAAACAGCTCCTTGTTCTCCTTCCAGTCCCTGCAGAGCCCTGGGATAACGGGCTGAGCAGCCTCCTCAGGGCAGGAGGGGGAGCAGCTGCCCCTAAAGCCCAACTCCAGGGATATAAAAGGGGGTATTTGGGATAAAAAGCTTGTTTGATGGAGCTCTTGGTGCCAAGCCTGGAGCAGGACCTGGCAGCATCCACGAGGAGCAGGTTTGGAGCCTCAGCTCCAACCTGATGTGCTCCCAGGGAGACAGGAGCAGGTTGTATTTCCAGGCACAGAAATGGGGATATTTGGGATAAAAAGCTTGTTTGGTTGAGCCCTTCATGGCAAGCCTGGAGCAGGGCCTGGAAGCATCCACGAGGAGGATTTTTGGAACATCCCTTCCAGCCTGATGTGTTCCCAGGAAGAGACAAGAGCAGCTTAACTTCTCCTGAAAGGGGCATTTAATGAGGGGCAGGATCACATCCTTAACTGCCTCGAGGGATAACAATGCTGGAAAACCACTTCCCTGGAAGTGTCCAAGACCAGGCTGGACAGGACTTGGAGCAACCTGGGCTAATGGAAGGTGTCCCTGCCCATGGCAGGGGGTGGAACGGGATGAGCCTTAAGGTTTTCTCCAACCCAACCCATCCTGGGATTCTGGGATTCCCATGACTGTGGGGAGAGCTGGACTTGAGAGACTCCATTTCTTAGAAATAAGGAAGGAATTCCTGGCTGTGAGGGTGGAGAGGCCCAGGCACAGGGTGCCCAGAGAAGCTGTGGCTGCCCCTGGATCCCTGGAAGTGTCCAAGGCCAGGCTGGAGCCACCTGGGATAGTGGAAGGTGTCCCTTCCCTCGGGGACATGGGATGAGCTTTAAGGTCCTTCCCAACCGAAACCCCCCTGGGATTCTGTGCAGAAGTGGGTGACTGGGCACCCTGGGCTCGAGGAACCCCCAAACCGTGCCGTGGGGTCTCACCTGGGGCTGCTCCTCGCCCTGGGAGTCCTCGGCCGGCAGGAAGCGGAGCGCTGCGGGTTTGCCGTGCCCGGGCGGGGAGGCCGAGACGAAGACGAGCCGCTCCCGGGGCTCCACCATGCGGCAGCCGCGGGCCACGTTCAGCGCCGTCAGCATGTTGTCCCCTGCCAGGAACGGGGGGAGGACAGGGAATGGGCTTTTGGGGGCTCCAGGCCAGCAGGAGCAGCTCCGACCCGCAGCGTCCCCTCTCCGCGGTCCCTTCGCCTCCCCGTGTTTTGAGAGACAACTCCAAACCCTCGTGTTTTCCCCACTCCAAAGGAAAGCAGATTCAAATCCTGCTTTCCTGGCTGCAGAACACCTGGAGTTAACTCTGCTCCCCACCCATGATCCATGAAATGTGGGGTGTTTGCAAGATATGGACATTTGGGCGATGGAGAGCAAAACCAGGAGCTTCTCCACACAAAAACCTTCCCCAGCCTGAGCCCGTCAGCCCTGTGAGCATTCCAAGGGCAGGGATACACCAACCCAGGAGTCCTTGCTGTGCCCCCACAGCTGCTCCAGGCCATGGATTTCTGGCAGGAAACCCCTTCACCCCTTGCCCAACACCAAGGACTGTCCACGTCCCGTCCCCTCCCGACTCCATGTCCCCATTCCCCGGGATCACCTGTCACCATGACAGGCCGGATGTTGGCGTTCCTCAGGAGCTGGATCACGGGCGCAGACTCCGGCTTGAGGACGTTCTTCATGACCAGGAATCCCAGGAAGCTCAGGCTGCTCTCCACGGAGTCCCTGGTGGGACACAACGAGCCCTTCAGCACCACCACCAGGCACAGAGGAGCCGTGGGTATGAACAGCTAAAAATCCCTCTGGGAGGCAGCCAGGAATTCCCTTTGTGTGGATTAGGGTCTAATTCCCTGCAGGCTGCAGGGCAGCAAGACATCCTTGGAAATGCTTGGAGCAAACGAGGTGTAAAGAGAGAGAACAGGGCTGGGCACCAACCTGGGCAGCTGCAGGGCCTCCTCGAAGGTGGCCACCGTGCTCAGGGCTTTGCCAGCCAGACCCAAGACCCGGAAACCATCCGTGGTGTAGTGTCGGAGCATCTGGGAGAAATCCAGGGGCACTGGAAAAGCGAGGCCAGAAGAGCTCCTAAAGGAACCCCGAGACCAGGAGAGGGGAGACGGGGCTCGAGCTTCCAAAGGGCTTTGGCTGCTCATCCAGCCCCCAGCCCCATTCCCGGTCTTCCATCTTCCTGTTTTCTTCCCCACACGTGGCTGGAGCTAATCCAAAGCTCTGTGCCTCTGGGAAGTGCCCCCCAGCATCCCTGAGGACAGTTCCCTGCAGGGATACAGATGATGCAGCAGCGGGACTGGTGACCCCCAACATCCCAGTACACACCAGTTTCCTTCCTGCACAGACTGGCCACCATCTCCGGGGCGCCCTTGACATACACGTGGGCTGTGGCTTCTCTGGGGAGTTTCACCAGGACACTCATCCTCTGGAAGGAGGAGGAGAAAGGGAAACGCCGGAGGATCCCCAGGGGTGACTGGTGCTTCTGCAGAGGAGAGGGAATGTCGGGCCAGGAGGAACCTCTCCAGGAGGAACCTCTCCAGGAGGAACCTCTCCAGGGCTGTGAGGAGCAGACCCAGTGGTCTGAGGCGCCGGAGCCGCTCTGCTCCACGGGATTACCCTGTCCCGGGGCTGCTCTTCCTCAGGGGGAGGTTTCACCACAGCCAAGACCTTCATCCCAAACTGCTGGAAGGCCGGGAGCTCCCCCTCCTCCTCCTCCATCATCTCCAGGCGCTGCAACCGAGGCAGGGGCTGGGATGGCAAAGCCTCCCCAACCTCACAGGGGGTCTGAACACCCCTGTCCTGGCAGAGCGGGATTCCTGCCTCCTCCCCCTTTGCATCCCCCCCTCCTGGCTTACCCAGCCGGTGGATTCCAACATTTTGAGGTCCACGGGGTCCCCGACGAGCTGTGCCCGCAGCAGGGACAGGCTGTGGCAGGAGGCCAGGGCGTGGAGCAGGGGCCCGGCCGGGAGGCACTGGCGGCTCGTGGACGACGGGCAGGAACCGGTTGTTTCTCCAGGGGCACCACCCCCACACATCCAGCCCTTCCTCGGTCAGCGTTCCCGTCTGCGGGGAGAGCCTGCGGTGTCCCGGAGATCCCTCCCCGGGAACGGTGCCCCTGGCCCGCCCCGCTCACCTTGTCGAAGCAAACCAGGCGGATCTTCCCGCACAGGTTGATCCGGGGGGGGCTGATGCAGAAGATTCCCTGTTTCTTCAGCCTGTTCTGGGCGTAGATGGTGCCCACGGTCATGGCGGCCGGCAGCGCCGGCGGCACGATGACGGTCACCAGGTCCAGGGCGCGGATGATGATCTGCCCCACGGGCACCTGGCAGGGCAGCAGGGACAGGGGTGGGCATCCCTCATCCTGACGGTCCCCGTGGATCCCGGGGTATCCTCCAGCCCCACCAGCCCTACCTGGTTCCTAACCAGGATGAGGATGCTGTACAAGGTGCCGACGAAAGCTGTGCCGGAGGGAGAAGGGTTACTGAGCAAAGCTGAGGGAGGGGGTTCAACCTTCCAGAGGAGTTTGGATGCTGCCGGTGGTGTCTCCGTGCTCAGACCTACCCAGGACGGCGAGGAACAGGACGAACTTCACGGCATCCTTGTAGAACTTGAAGCTGACGGGTTTGGGGTAGAGGATGGAGCCGATGAGATCCCCCTTGGCCGTGCAGAACCCTGTGGGAAGGGCCGGGGGGTCACCACGTGCTCCCAAGGGTGCGGATCCATCCCAGTGTTCCTCCCCAGTCCATCACCTGTGCGGGTCACCACGGCCAGCACTTCCCCCCCCACGTAGGCCTTGGCCTGGATGACGTGTGTCCCACAGAACAGGGTGTGCCTCCGGTGCTCCTCCGGGGAGTACACGGCCCCGGCCGCCTGCGCCCCGGCCGGCAGCGGCGTCTTCATCACCGGCACACTCTCCCCTGGGAATAATGAGCTCTGTCAGCCTGGGCAAGGCAGGATCCGGCCAGCCCGGATGGGAAGGGGCTGCCGTAGGGTCGCTGAGACACGAGGCTCATCCTCTCCCCCGAAATGCCCCGGGAATGCCAGGGACGGAGGCTCTCACCCGTCAGCATGCTCTCATTGACCATGCACTCGCCCGTCAGCAGCGCGGCGTCGCAGGGCACCAGCAGCCCGTCCCCGGGAATGCTGATGCAGTCCCCTGGCACCAGCTCCACCGAGCTCACCACCGTCTCCTCTGGAAGACAGCATGGCTGTGCTCAGGCACGGCACCCCGAGGCCATCCCAAAGAGTTCCATGCCGGAGCGCCGCCCTCACCTCCGCCGCGCCGACGCACTCGGACACCCACCGACATCCTGGCCACGGCCTGCAGTGTGGTGCTTTGCTGGGAGACAGGGAGGGAGAAGTTAAAACCACCCCAGGACGCCCAAAAAGCACAGCAAAGCATCCCTGGAACTGGTCTCAAAGGCTCGGGATCAGGGACGAAGGACAAGGAAAGCCATCCTGCCATTGGATTGCAGGTTGTCCTCACCCAGCTGGGCTCAGGGGGAGCTTGACACCAGCATAGAGGTCAAAGGGCAGCAAAAATTGGGCCTTTCAGAGAGATGCTCATCCCAAACAATCCCACCAACCTTCCTGGTCTCGTAGAGGGACAAGCCCAAGGAGATGGTGGAGATGAGGAAGATGCAGGCGGCGTAGTAGTAATAGGCATCACACACCCACAGCACGATGCTGAACACTTGGAAGATGTAGAAGGGATTGAGCACCTGCAACAAGGGGAAGGAGAAGCTTTGGGAAGAGGAGAGAACTTCTTCCAGCCCACTGTGAGACCTCCAGGCTCCTTGGGGGAAGAAAAAAAGCTTCCTCCAGGCCATCATGAGACCTCCAGGCTCCTCGAGGAGGGGAGACCTTCCTCCAGCCCAGTGTGAGATCTCCAGGCTCCTGGGAGGGGGAAAAGCTTCCCCAGATCCTCATGACACATCCAGGTTCCTCAGGAGCAGGGAGAGCTTCCTCCAGCCCAGTGTCAGGTTCCTTGGGGTGGGGAAAAAGCTTCCTCCAGCCCATCCTGAGACCTTCCTCCAGATATCAGGAGACCTCCAGGCTCCTTTTGAGGAGGGGAGACCTTCCTCCTTCCTGGGAGGTAGGAGAGCTTCTTCCAGCCCATCATGAGACCTCCAGGCTCCTTGAGGAACAACAGCTCCCATGGAGAAGCTGGCCCTTCCTTGGTGCTGGGGATAGACCAGCTGATGTCCCATAGTTTTCCTCATGGATGGTGCTCCTGAGGATGCTCAGCCACCTCCACAACTACCTGGGGGTGCTCCTGTCCAAGCCAGGACGGGTCCCCTCCACGGCTGTGCCAGCTCTGCCTTCTCCCAAAGCCCTCTCCTCCCTTCCCAAGGGCCCACAAAGCACTTGGAGTGAGGGACGTGGAGCCAGGGAATGATCTGCCCTGGGAAAACCCGTGGAAGCTCAGCCCATGGACACCCACCTCCTCCACCAGCAGCCTCGCATAGGACTTGACGGGCACCTCGATGAGGTTTGGGCCGTAGATCTTCCTCCTGGGAAGAGAGAAGGAGAGGGAAGGAAATCCACCCTTGGGAGAAGCAGCATTTCCACCTCTTGGGTCCCCCCTGCTGCCCACACCTCCATGGGAGCTTGGTTACGTGGAGAAGCCAAGCCCAGGAATTCCATCCCACCCGCCAGCCCGGGGTTTGGAGGTCTGAACGCAAGGAAAACCCAGGCTCCAGGATTTTCTGCTCCTGGAAAAGCCACGTGTGCTCCCTGTGCAACCCACAGGGATCCCCACCTGGTGCTGTGGTCCTGTTGGTCCAGCCCAGGCTGGGAGAGGTGGAGATCTGCACAGGTCCAACCCTCATCCAGGACACTGGGAAGTGCCAGGGGAAGGAAAAACAGAGAGACAGAGTCAAAATCAGCGGGAACAGCGGAACAAACACCATGGCCAAGTCCCTGGGAACACTAAAAACCCCCTTTGGAAAAGGGAGAGTGTTGTGTTCCTTGGCCTCTGCAGCAGCTCGTGAGTGCCAAGGAAAGCCAACAAAGGGGCACAGTTGGGAGAGCCGGGAGCATCCGGAGCTGCCAAACTGCTCCGTCCGGTTCCCTGTGCCCGGAGAGGCACCGACAGCCGGGGGAGGGACCCACACCACGGGATGGGCTTCAGGAGGGACAATCCCGAGCAGTGCTGTGGCTCCCAGGGCGTCCAGGAGGGTTTTGAGGGAGCCAAGGGGGCGAGGAGAGGGTGGAGAGGGGCAGGGTTGGGGAATACCTGACCCTGCAGAACGTCTGCCGCCGCTCCAGCCACACGTAGCGCATCCCCTGGAACAGGTAATACCTCAGGACGTTCTTCTGAGCCCACGGGGACGGAAAAGAGAAGGTGTTGGTGGGGCACGAGGGCGGCCCATGGCAAGGGAGAGGGTTCCCGGGGGCTGGAAGGTCCCGGGCATCACCTCCTCGTTCTCGTGGAGCCGGAGGGTGTCCCGGCTCTCCTCCTCGTCCGACACTCCGACGGCGACGCTGCTCCGCCGCTCCTCCGGCCGCGCCCCGGGGGGCTGCTCCAGGCTGGCCGGGCAACCAAGGGTCAGTCCCCCCTCAGAGCCCCCGGGATCCAACAGGAATGGGAGCCCGAGGGTCAGCCCTCCCTCAAACCCCCCGGATCCCACAGGAATGGGAGCCTGAGGGTCAGCCCTCCCTCAAACCCCCTCCCACAGGAATGGGAGCCCGAGGGTCAGCCCTCCCTCAAACCCCCTGGATCCCACAGGAATGGGAGCCCGAGGGTCAGCCCTCCCTCAAACCCCCCGGGATCCCACAGGAATGGGAGCTCGAGGGTCAGTCCCCCCTCAGAGCCCCCGGATCCCACAGGAATGGGAGCCCGAGGGTCAGTCCCCCCTCAGAGCCCCCGGATCCCACAGGAATGGGAGCTCAAGGGTCAGCCCTCCCTCAAACCCCCTGGATCCCACAGGAATGGGAGCTCAAGGGTCAGCCCTCCCTCAAACCCCCCAGGATCCCACAGGAATGGGAGTCCGAGGGTCAGTCCCCCCTCAAACCCCCTGGATCCCGTGGGAACACGAGCCCAGCTCACCTGCCCTCGCCCAGCGGCTCCAGCAGCACCCTGGAGGTGAAGCACTGCCCGAAGCGGTCCTGGAACACAGGGATGGTCTGGGATGGACGCCGGGAGCTCCCTGCTCAGCCCAGAGCCTCGGCAAGGCAGGGAGGCCCCGGCTACTCATCTTGGGGGATGGAAGGGTGGGTTTGGGGGATAATGAAGAGAAATTCCAGGCCTGGTTGGCTGGCAGGGAAGGGAAAAGCGCAAAGTGATTTTAGGAATAAGAGTTATTCCTGGACTAATGGGATACTATAATTATTATTATTAATAAAATAATGATAATATTATATAATCAATATGCTACGATAAATATATAATAAATATGTTATAAATAACATACTCATATATATGTATGTCTTACATAATACTGATAGTAATATAAAATATAATGGCATTATGATGAGAATATTTTTATATATACATATTTTAATAAATAATGATGAAAATATGATGATAATAATAATAATAATTTAATAATAAAAAATTCCTGAACAATTTGGTGCTGGGGCACCTTGATGGAAGTTGAGGGTTCCTTGATGATGATAATTATTACTATAATAACCATAATCAGAATAATTTAATAATTAAAAATTCTTGGAATAATTTGGTGCTGGGGTACCTTGATGGAAGTTGGGGTTCCTTGATGGAAGGAGATGCCAGCCATGGAGAGGGTGACCAGTAGCAAGGACCATTCCCAGGACCCTGCTGGGAGCCCAAGCCCAGCTCCACAGGCCCCCAGCATGGAGAAGGTTGGAAGGAGCCCCAGGCCCCCCAGGACTCACCCTGATGATGACCCAGTCGGCCTGGCCCAGGGCACAGGGTCTGCACTTGGCCTGCACTTCCAGGCTGGGCTTCCAGTGGAACAGCAGCAGGAGCAGCCCCGCGGTGAGGACGGAGCCCACGTGGCACAGGAGCACCCGCCACGGGCGGCTCTGGTACCCAGACACCTCCTGCAAGAGAGGCTCACCTGGGCCTGCCTGGCGAGACAGCAACTCAACATTATTGCCATTCAACCCCAAATCCAGACAGGCCCTTGGTCAGAAATTCAACTAAAATTAACATTATCAGACATTAAACCCCAAATCCAGAAAGGTCCTTGGGGATAAAATCAACTAAAATTAACATTATCAGACATTAAACCCCAAATCCAGAAAGGTCCTCGGTGATAAAATCAACTAAAATTAGCATTATCAGCCACTAAACCTCAAACTTATAAAATCCTTGAGCTTCCCGGCGGGATTTAACCCCGGTCAGGTGACAATCAACACCTCTGAGGGTGGAAAACCCCTGTCCCACGCCTTCCTCCCCACGGAGAATCCCCCAGCCCTACCATGTGGGATGGATCCGGCTGCAGCGTCCCGTAGCTCCGCCGTCGGCTCCCCAGCAGCCTGCTGGCGTCTGCAAATCCCAAAAAAACAGGGAAAAGGGATAAGGAGAGGGGATCCAGCTTGGTCACCAGCTCCCCAGCAGCTTGCTGTCTGCAAATCCCCAAAAAACAGGGACAAGGGATAAGGGGAGGTGATCCCGGGGGTTATTCGGGCGATGCCATCCCTGGCTCATCCCAGACGGCGGCTCCCGGCCATCCAGCCCGGGATGCTGCGGGAATGGGGCACCCGGCGCGGCCCCGTCCCGCTCCGGCCGCACGTGACGGTCACGGGAGCGGCGCCGGAGGAGCCCCGGAGGGAATCTGGCGGAATTCCAGCGGCTTTCGGGAGCAGGGCTGGGACACGGCCAGGCCGAGCTCTCTAAGCCACTTTCCTCCGCTCCCTCCGCTCCCTGCGCCGGGGCCACAAAACCCGGCACTTCCCAGTTTTCAGGATGTTCGGCACCTCCGATTCCTGCCGGGCTCCGCTGCTCCCCGAAGCCCGGCCTGGGCATCACTGGGATCATCCCAGGTGGAATTTCAATCATCACCCTCTGGGACGTGAAGCTGAACCTGTTTATCCTCTAAATCCACACCAGATTACAAATCACGACATTCCCAACTCCAGGATCTTTGTTTACCCCCTAAATCCACACCTGATTACAAGTCCTGGCATTCCCAACTCCAGAATCTTTGCTTATCCCCTAAATCCATGCTGGATTACAAATCCTGGCATTCCCAACTCCAAGGTCCTTGCTTATGCCCTAAATCCACACCTGATTACAAGTCATGACATTCCCAGCTCCGGGATCTCTGTTTACCTCCTAAATCCACACTGGATTACCAGTCATGACATTCCCAACTCCAGGATCTCTGTTTACCTCCTAAATCCACACTGGATTACCAGTCATGACATTCCCAGCTCCGGGATCCTTGCTCATCCCCTAAATCCCGGCTGGATTACAAATCACGACATTCCCAGCTCCAGGATCTCAAAGCAGCCGCGGGTGGTAACACGTGGCACAAACACCAACCCTGGAGCTCGTTCCCCCTCCCGGAGCAGCCGCTGCTTCCCCGCCTGGGCCGGTTCAGGTTTCCAGGAGCGCTGAGCGCGGCTTAACCATTTCTGTGCCGGGCGGGAGCCCCTGCACCCGCTCCCTGCCGGAAAAGCCGGGATTCCTGGGATCCCTCCGGCGGGATTCCTGCCACTCCCTGGTGATCCCAGAGCTCGCCGGCGGGTGATAAAGGCAATTCATGCAAAGCCTGAATTGATCCCTGTTTTTGGGGATCGCCGGGGTCCATCTCAGCTCCCGAAACGCGGCCGGGGCCGCTCCAAGGGATAAATTTTGGGATGAGGAACAGGGGGATGAGCCCGAGGGAAAACAAAAGCTCTCCCAGGAGCCCGAAGGGACACATCGTCTCTCTCTGGTGCATTCCAGGTTTAAGGAAGCCCGGAGCGGGCAAGGAGGAGCCCGAGCCGCCCTTCCCAAGGGCAGGACAAAGGAGAGGCCGAGGGGGGGCCTCGCCAAAGCCTTTTCCCGAGGATGCAGGAGGGAAAAGTATCCAACCAGACTGAAACCAACCCAATCCGCTCCCCGCGCATTCCCGGAGCAGGCCGGGAAGCGGGAAGCCCGGCCCGCCCCTCTCCTGGAGCACCGGCAGAATTATTCCGGCTTTTTCTGATCCGCAAAGCAGCAAATCCTTGGGAGGAGCAGACCCTGCCCGAGCCCGTTCCCGTGGATTTCTCACCTCCCGCTCCCATCCCGGCTGCTTCCCGAGCCACGGCGAGCTCGGAGGGCCCCCGGCCTCGGCTCACCCCAGCGGGCTGGGCTGGGATGCGGGATCCATGGGATCCGGCCATCACCTGCCCCACGTGTCCGTGGAAACCTCCGGAGGGGCGGGAGCTGCGCGAGCGGTTGGAATCGCGGCCACACCTCGTGGGCAAACAGGACCCGGGACGGGCCCGCACCCGCTCCAGGGGGTTATCCCGGGGCCCGGGCAGAGATCTGCCTCCCTCTCTGCTGGGAAAGCGGGATTAAGAGGGGGATAACGGCCAGGAGAGGCTGGAAATTCTCGGGAGGGTCAGAGATGCACCAGCCTGGCTTGTCCAGGGAAAAGGGGAGCCAAGATTCTGCACTGACACTGGATTTGCACAAAAATCCCGGTTGGAATCCTCACAGCTGCCTGGCTCCGAGTCCATGCCCTGTCCTGGACCTTCACCACGTGTTCCTGCAGTCAGGGCTTGGGGAAAATTTGGGATGAAGATGCCCGGGATGCTCTGACATTTCCCACACGTCCTGGCAGGGAAGGATGAACACTGACTCCGGAATGCGGAGCTGGAACCTGGAGCCCCTGGGCCTTGTGGCTCTGAACCCCCTTTGGAGCACCCCCAGCATGGCTGGGAAGTGGCTGGGAATGCCAGTGCTGGTCCTTGTCCCGGGATTTGGCCCCAGATGCACATGGAAAACAGGTGGATGCTGATCCCAGGGACCTCCTCCCCCAGCTCCCACAGCCCCTTTCTGGGAGCGACAAATCCCAAGGGGGCCTTGAGGTCTCCCTCTGCTCCTATGGTTCCCTGTGGATGGTCAGGACTTCCTGGGCAGCACCATCCACCCATCCACCCATCCATCTACCCATCCACCCATCCATCCATCCACCCATCCCTCCACCCATCCATCCATCCACCCATCCCTCCATCCATCCCGGAGGTTGCACACAAGCTGAGGAAGCTCCCCCATGGAAGTCTCTGCTCCAGAGCGAGCTCTGGCTGTTGGCATGGGCTGGGCAAGGTCAACCTGGGCCCTTGGAGATGGGGACACGGAAAATCAGGATGAGGCCAAAGCAAGGAAGGAGGGATGAGGTGGGAAAACAGTGCTTTGGTGATGAAGGGTGAGATTTGACTCCAGATGATCTTCCTGAGCAGCTCCAGGATGGGAGATGCCACAGCCCCGAGAGGAACTGGGACGAGATGCCGGTGACTCTCCTGCCCTTTCCACCGAGCCAACATAAACTCATCCAGGCCAACAACTCCGAGCCAACCGGAGCGGGACACGCCGCCGGAGCGGACGGGTCCGACCAGGCCGATGGAGCACAGCCGGAAAAATGGGCCCGGGCTGGGATAAACCAAGGGGTGAGACGGGCTCCATTCAAGGCAGGGCCACGGGAGACTGGGATTCAGATTGGAAACGCTGGAGGAGCCGCTCTGGGGCATCAAACCCTTGGGATGGGCCAGGGAATAAATCCCTCGGAAGCAGCATCTGTGTCCACCTCAGACTGCTTGGTTTGGGTTTTTCGGGAAGGATCATCCAGGAGGAGGAAGGTGGCAGTGTCTGCTTCTCCACGTGCTGATCCGACCCTCCCAACCCTTCCGGCACGGCGGGATCCTCCCCCGCCCTGACCTTCCCGGAACCCGGTTTTGCAAGAGCTCTCCGGCTGCCAAACCCACCTCCGAGCGGAGGAAGCACCTGCAGGAACATCCTGGTTGGGCAACCGCCAGCAAAGGGGGGAGGGAAGGGGGTTCACATCCAAATCCAGCCTGTCCCCCACATTCCAGTTAAATACGGGCTCCTCCATCCCCTGGGAGAGGGGGAGTGCTCCTCACACCCATCCCTGGGAGGATAAGCCAGGCCTAGAACTCTCTAAACCGGCGTTAAAGCCTTAAATGGGGGGGGAAAGGGGGAAGTTCAAAGTCCCGAGGGCAGCTCTGCTGTGGATCCGGATCCGCAGGAGGAGATGGACAAGCGGGATCTGAGGGGATGTGGTGGGATCAGCGCAGGCACAGGGATGGTGGGCATGAGGATGGTGGGCACGGGGACCACAGGCACCCTGATGGACGTCACCCCCCCTTTCCTGCCCAAGGCTCTTCTTCCCTCACCCCTTGAGAAACCTCCCTGTGCCAACGGCGCCGGTTCCAAGGAAACGGGCAAAGGTTGCCTGGCAGAGGCTGAGCCGGTTCTGTATTCCCGGGAATGAGGAACGTGGACAAGGCACGGAGCCTCCGAGGGCTTCCCATCCTCTTCCAAATGCCTGGATGCCTTTTTCCTACCCAACATCCCGCTCCATTCTCTATCCACACAAAACCCCTGGGATTGCTCAGGAAGGCAACGTGTCCTTCCCAACCTTCCCATCCAGCCCGGCCTCGTGATGCCGATGGGAGACCCGGCCGAGGGATGCTCCGGGATCGGCACAGAGCATTCCCAAAGTCCAAGCTGGAGCAACCCGCTCGCAGGGAAGCAGCTCCCGCTGGGCTGCAGGGATCTGGATGTGGGGCTGGGGGGCTGGGAGCATCCCAAAGCCTGGGATTTGTTTCCCCATGGATCGATCGCTGCATCCCATGCGCCGGAATTCCGACGGTGAGCTTGGATCCCGATGGGATGCAAAGCCAAGAAGTTCTCCCTGGTTAAGTTGTGGTGTCACGGAGCCTTTTCCAGACCCAGAGCCCCCTGGGGGATCCCGGGATGTGCTTCCATTTGGCTCCGGCACCACCCGGATCCAAACCCCCAGGGCCCCCCTGGAAATCCTGCGGGAGGGGAGGGGGGGGAGAGCAGGGAAAAGGAAAGAAAAAGGGAAATAAGAAAGGAAAAGGAAAAAGGAAAAGGAAGGAAAATAAAACAGTGAAATAAAAAAGGCGAATGGAGCAAAATGAAAAAGCAAAATAAAGAGAAATGAAGGGAAATAAAACAAAGAGAAACGAACAAAAAAGGCAAAATAAAGTGAAATAAAAGAGAAATGAAGTGGGGGAAAAAGAGAAAAAGCAAACTAATAAAATGGAACAGAGAGAAATAAAAGAGCAAAATACAGGAAAATAAAGGGGAATTAAAAAGCGAAATAAGGCAAGAAAATAAAGCAGGAAAATGAAGTGAAATAAAGGAAATAAAGCAAAATAAAAAAGTGAAAAAGCAAAGTAAGGGAACAAAAGTAAGGGAAAATAAAAAAGTGAAATAAAACCAAAAATAAAGCAAAATAATAAAGCAAAATAAAGTGAAATAACAGAGCAAAATAAAGCAGCAAAAAATAAAAATAAACCTCCCGAAATTAAAGCAAAATCAAAAAGCCAAATAAAGCAAAATTATTAAGCAAAATAAAGTAAAATAAAAAAGCCGTAAAGCCAAATTAACCCCCCCCAAATAAAGCAAAATAAAAAAGCAAGATTAATAAGGTAAAATAAAACAAAATTAAAAAGCAAAAATAAAGGCAAAAATAAAGCAAAATATAAAAGTAAAAAACAAAATAATAAAGCGAAGTAAAGCAAAATAAAAAGTAATAAGAAAATAAAACAATGAAAATAAAAAACCAAAATAAAGCAAAATATAAAAGTGAAATAAAGCAAAATAAAGGAAAATAAAAAGCAAAATAAAGAAAAATAATCAAGTGAAATAAAGCAAGGTATAGCAAAACACAAAAGAGAGAAAGCAAAATAAGAGGCCGAAAATAAAGCAAAATAAAAAAGCAAAATAAAGCAAAATAAAGGAAAATAAGAAAGGGAAATAAAGCAAAATAAAACTGAGAAGAATCAAAAGAAGAACCCCAAAATAAAGTAAAATAAGAAAGGAAAAAAAGGGAAGTAATAAAAGGAAATAAAGGAAAGTAATAAAGCGAAATAAAACAAAATAAAGGAAAATAATAAAGCTAAATAAAGGAAAAAATAAAGCGAAATAAAGCAAAATAAAAAAGAGAAAAATAAAAAAAAAAAAACCCAACCAAAAATAAAGCAATATAAAAAAGCAAAATATAGCAAAGTTTAAAAACAATTAGAGCAAAACAAAGAGCAAATTACAGGAAAATAAAACCCAAATAAAGCCAAATAAAAAGCAAATTACCGCAGAATGAAAAAGCGAAGCGAAGGGACCCGAAGCCCCGCTGTGCCCCCCCATCCCCCGCACACCCACGGAACCCCGGGCGCCGCCCGCAGCGACCCGGAGCGCGGACTGCGCGGTGGGGTCCCGGCCCGGCGGGGGTCCCGCACCCCGTCCCCGAGCCCGCTGACCTGAGCTCATGGCGCTGCCGCGGCCGCGGCGGGAAAGGGCGGGACGGGAACGGCCGGAACGACGGACCTGTAGTCTGCCCCCCAACGGCGTCTGCAACCCGCCTCCAGAGACCCAACGGCCCCAATAAAACCCCCGGGCCCCCCAAAATTCAGCCACAGCCCCCCAAAATCACCCATCGGCCCCCCAAAAATCATCACACACCCAAAATCACCACACCCCCAAAAATCATCCACACACACCAAATCATCCCCACCCCCCAGAATCATCCACACACCCTCCAAAATCATCCACACACCCAAAATCATTCCACAATCATTGAGTTAAGAGGCCCCCAAAATCATCCACACCCCCTCAAGAGATCCACAGCCTCCAAATCCTCCAAGACCCCCAAAATCATCCACACACCCCCGAAAATCATCACAGCCCCCCAGAATCATCACACCCCTAGAGTACCCACAGCCCCCAAAATCATACACAGCCCCCCAAATTCATCCATACCCCCAAAAGCATCCACAACACGCCAAAAGATCCACCCCAAAATCATCACAACCCCCTCAAGAGCATCACAGCCCTCCAAAATCACCCACAGCCCCCCAAAATCATCCACACACCCCAAATCATCCACAGCCCCCCAGAATCAATCCACACCCCCCTCAGAGCACCCACAGCCCCCGAAAATCAACACCACAGCCCGACCAAAAATCATCCACAGCCCCCCCAAATCACCCCACAGCCCCCCCAAATTATCCAGCACCCCCCCAAAATCATCCACCTCCCCAAAATCATCCACACCCCCCTTAGAGCATCCACAGCCCCCCAAAATCATCCAAAACTTGCAAGGCCTCCCGTGGTGCTC